CTTGTTGTGGGGGCAGGAAAAGCCGTGTAATGCAGACAAATAGAATAGTTTATTCAGTAATGCAAACAGTGTTGTGGCAGACAGCTGACACCAATTTTACTTAATGTGCTTCAAAAATGTGATGATCTGTTTAGTGACTCAGGGTTAGTCAACATTTATCTAAGATATCTAACATTTATTTTAGTTAAGTGAAGTGAGTTAATATTTTAGTTTAGTGAATTTAGTTAATTATCCTTGTTATTTATGCCTGTGCCTTTCCTGCTGAAAAATTTCTAAATGCCGTCCTTGGTAAAGGCCTATTTGTAAGCACTACAGTATGTAACTTTTCAAGTCATAGTTTCATGAAAGAATGCGTTGTCTGGGAAAATGCATGACATTTGTAAAAGGTGAACATCATTGTTGGTGCTTGAGTCACCTACAAGCAAATCTATTTTGTTCTCTTTCAGAACTGGAAAAGAACAAGAATTCTTCAGCCCACATCTCCCAGCTCCCAACAGAAATTATGCTGAGGCTGTTCCATTATTTGGGCCCTGAGGATCTGTGCCGCTGCAGTCAAGTGTGCAGCTCTTGGTCAGAACTAGCAAAGACCGGGTCCTTGTGGAGGCACCTCTATCCTGTACGCTGGGCCAGAGGTAGGCTCCAGCTGACCTTGAAGAACAAAATAATGTTTTCTGATTCACTTTTCCCTGCAATCGCCTTTTACTAGTGAAGACTTTAATGCATTGATTAGAGTATGTGGTAGTGCACTGCTGATAAATGTTTGTCTCTCTCTCATGCAGGTGATTATTATAGTGGCCCACCAGGGGATCTCGATCAGGACCCAGATGATGAGTGGGTGAAGAGTCGGCAAAATGAGGGTCGTGCCTATCAGGAATGGGACGAGGATGCTGATGTGGATGAATCTGGTGAGGCTTTGTTTCGCTCACTTCTGTTGGCCTCCAACAGTGAAGCTATCTCAGGCCTGTAGTGTAGCAAGCAACTAGTAGTCTATACAGTCAATGAAATGATTTAAATTAGCTCTACATTACAAGTTGTGTCATCCATGTTTTTGTTCATCGTTTCATCAGATGTGTCGGGACACACAGAGGGCTCCCTGGCAATTAGCACTGCTCAGCGAGAGAAGAGGCTCCTGAATGGGATTATCCAGAACCTTCTGCCAGCTGTGGGTCCATCTGTCAAGTCCATTATTCTGGCATACAGTTCTACAGTCTCAAGTAAAATGGTAGGTAGCGCAAATATTTTGACAATGTAAATGCACTACACTCAATTATGAGGATTTATCGACTGAACTGTCTTGTGAAAATGAAAGATCACATTATTTTTGTCCTGTTCCAGGTCCGTCAGATTCTCAGTCTCTGCCCTAATATTACTCATCTGGACCTGACCCAGACTGATGTTACAGATTTTGCATTTGACAGGTAATTTATTAAACATGTTTACTAAAATGGGATGAACAGATTTCTGATTATGCACTAGCACAAAGTTTATGTACTAAGGCTCCAGTGGATAAAGATTAAGCTGTTTACTTCTAAATTTGCTTAGAACCAGCCTCAGCCAATTTTTCTTTCTTTCTCAGAAAACTCAAAGCTATGTTTGTTCTGTCGACTCTCTCTCTCAGCTGGTTATCTCTTGGAGCTTGTCGTTCTCTGGAGCACCTTGATTTGTCAGGATGTGAGAAGATCACCGATCACACCCTGAAGAAACTGTCTGTCGGACTGGGTGATCTCACGTCTTCCACCTGCGTTGATAAACGCTCAGACCGGCGAGCCAAGCTTCTGAAAAGTTCCCCAGTTCCCATTACACTCATGGATGAGAGAAAGCTGCCTCCAGTGGGGCGAAAGCAGCAGGCCCTCATTTTCAAGCAGGGGACTGGCCGTTGGGGCGCTGCCTGCATGCCCACACAAGTGTGGGTCTTGGACACTTCAGACCTTGCTGATATTGAAGATGCTGCAGAGTGGAGCCGTCGTGGTGGGATGTCGCTCCCTGACGCAGAAACATTTGTAGAGACGCAGCTTGTGAGAAGCTCGTGCTGTTGCAGGAGTAGCAGGAGGCGTGGGCACAGGACTGGCTCAGATCCTTCCTTTCTGCATCAGCAGTTCGCCATGTCTGGGGAAATGTTTTGTGGTCACTCCACATGCTGCAGTAGTGACATGGCCCTCAGGACTTTTACTGGGCCCCAGTGCAAACCAGGCACTGCCAGGAACACCACTGCAGAACTGAGGACTAAATGCTTCCCAATTGGGGGCGTGCAGTGTGTGGAGCCTGAAAACAGGACTGACTGGTCAGAAGCCAAACGCTCACTGAGATTTCTCAGTCTCTCTGGGTGTTATCAAGTCACTGATTTGGGCTTGAGGTATGTATCATGCATTGCTGTTTTTGAAACAAAACACATTTATTTTATACCTGAAATAGTTTCCACCTCACCTGTTTTTTACATGGACCTATTTGGAAGTTTGCTTCATCTGAGACCAATGCAGTGAGATGAATGAGTCATTATGATCAGCTGTAAAATTCCATATCGGTCAGATTACACTTGTGCAATTTCAAAGCAACATTTACTGGTAAGTGGCAGGTGTTATTTGAGTGCAAGCTGAAAGCGGAAGATGGTGTAATAACGTGTGAATGTGGTCTCTTATCTTGGTAAACTCTGCCTCTGTGTGACCTTTCTCACGTACACAGTTTGGACAGGATCCAGTGTGATTGTTTATTCACCTGGCTATATAAAATGGAAAAGTAGAAATGCAGATGTGCTCATCACACTATGTTTCCATTAGTTGTTCACTTCATTCAGGTCATTAGTGAAAGGCGTTGTATATTACATTTGTTGCAGTCAACCGTACTGTCCGCATTAGGTTAAGACTGGATTATCAGCGTTCCGTTAGATGTTCCCATCGCTGGTCTTTGTGTGTCTATAATGCGGTTGTGTTGCGCTGTGTGTGTTGCAGGGCTCTGTCTCAGCGTGGAGGGCTTCCTGTCCTGGAACATCTCAACTTGTCTGGCTGCCTCTTCATCACTGAGGTGGGGCTGCAGGAGCTGGTGTCAGCCTGTCCTTCCCTCAATGATGAACACTTCTATTACTGCGACAACATCAACGGTAACACAAGTGAAACTGTTGGGGGTGTTTTTTTTTTTTTGTACTTCTGAAACACAAAATTGTACATACTCGTGAACTAGTGAAGTGTTTTGAGGAAAGATTGTGTTAATGTTTAACTGTAAGATGTCATGGTGCCTATAAATGATGTGTGAGCCATTGTGTGGCTGCTGTAACAAACATTACTAACCCCACTCGCATAGCATGTGTCCTGGTGTAAGTCACCGATGCTGCTGAGGTGGAAGGTAAGTAGGTAGTACAGGTGCAAATATGATGCCTTCTGTATTTACTATCACAACTTTATGTAACCAGTTGTGTGCCATGCAATTTCTTCATTCATTTAATTTATAATAATTGAAAAAATTCTTAGAATATCTTGGATGTGGGGGTGTGTATCAGAGTTGTCCTGTGGGATGCAGGTCAGTGGATGACCACTGTGGTGTTTTTCTGCAGGTCCTCACGCAGACACGGCCAGCGGCTGCCAGAACCTGCAGTGCGGTTTCAGAGCCTGCTGTCGCTCTGGAGAGTGATCCTGCCTGGCGACGCTCTCCTGAAATGTCACTTCTCCTTGTTATTGCACTTTATCCTGGGAATACCATTTGCTGTATTTTGTGTCACTTAAAAATGTTTCTTGATGAAACTGTAATTTTTGCTCCTGTTATTTCCATCTATATTTAATGGAGAAAAGGAAAACATAACGGGGTGGATTTGAAGTGTCTGCAAATGTACATTCTGGTTCCTTTTTTTTGTTTGTTTTGTTTTGAAAAAGTTTAAAAAAACCACCAAAAAAAACTAGAGAAACATGAACACCTGTAGTTAGACCACCTTTCTTCTCCAGATTTACAGAAGCCTGCTTCTCCCCTTGCTGTTAACTAAGTTATAATCTGCACAGTTAACTGACTTATTGTAGGATCAAATTGATGTTTTTTTTCTACCTTAATGAAGCTTTGTCAATAATTGGAGATGGTGATGTGGAAAATTAACCAGGAGTGAACCCATCCTCCCTGCAGATTGAAACTGGCTGTTGTAGATGGCTGTCACTTTGGGGATGGTTTCATTCTGTACATAGGACTTTTTTTTTTGACTCCCCTGCGCTACCGTACCTTATTGTTCAGGTCACTGCTCACAGAAGCCATTCAAGTTACTGAGACAGGAATTTGTACATGATTTTGCGGTGTAGTCTTAGCCATTTTGTCCAGATTTGTGATGCTGAATGTTCACAGTCACCAAAAAAGTTCTTTGCTTTTACTTTCCTTTATGCACTCCAATGAGCAAAGAAATGGACCAATGTTCACACACGACAGATTCTGATACGCTGACAAGGGGAGGGCAGTTAGAATAATGATCCTCTTACTGGGAGAGGCCTACTGTGTTCTCAGCCAACTACAGTGCTGCATCGTTGATCACACTGCAGCAGGATTTATTTTCTTGTTCGAAAGTCTTGCATGAGTTCTATTGGAAATGTTCATAACAAAACAATAAAAGTTTCTTGGAGTTAGAACCTCTGCATGTGGTCATTTTAATACCAACCGTTGCTTGCCAACATGATGTGGCGTCTCAACATGTTTAAAGAAACAGCGAGAAACATATTTTAAAAGCTCAGAATGTCGTTAACGGTTAACTACATATTTTACATTTCATTACAGCATTTTTTGGAGACTGTCAGAAACCTGGTGCATAGTGTGTGACATGGTGATTCTAAATTGTCTGTAAGTGTGTTAGCCCTGTGGCAACATGTCCAGGGTGCCTTTTGCAGGTACCAGCTCCCTGCAACCCTCTACAGGATAAAGCAGGTATAGCTGATGGCTGAATGGTGGGTTCTCAGGCTGTTTTCATTAGTATTTGATTATACTTGTCAGAAAATCCTACATATTTTTAGTGCATTCATTTAAAGATGTGAGTGTAGATCGATGAAAACATTAAAAACCTTTTATTACTGTACAGTACAACATGTCCAAAAGCCACAAAATAGCTCTTTGCTACAGTGAAAAACGAAAAACCCCACAAAGAAGCCTGTTTAGAAAGGTGGATGGATTTGATGTACACATAAAATATTTACCACAATGGATTTAAATATGATACACAACAGTGTGCAAACAGTTGAAGTAATGTACTTACATAAGGTCATTAGCATTGATTTAGCTAAAACTGGCTACAGTGCCTGGTAAAAGTACTTTACTTTGTAGAAATCTGTTTTCGTTTTGCCTTTTAGGGTTTTTTCTTTGGAATTTTTTTTCAAAACACCAAAAAAAAACCCAAATGCAATTGGCCATGATTTAATTTGAACAGCCATAAAAGGAGAAAACATTTTATAGCTGCAAAAGCAGTGAAGCACAATGAGATAAGTGTCTCTTAAGTACGGACGAGTGAGGCCAGGTACACCCACACAGACAGCACGTTATTGGGATAAGGGTGCACATATACAGCCAGAGCAAACTCCACGTTTGAAGCCTGAACGCTGTGAACTCCAGTACTGTACACTGCCTCTATGATGGGCCGGATCTCAGAGAATGGCAGATGCAGGGGGAAACCTGAAATCTAAAAAGAAACAGATGCCTGTTAGTGGATATTTATGATATTAATATATCAAAGTGAGCTCATGCGCTCTCCGCCAGCTCTTATGGAGCAGATGATATTGTACAGTGGAGATGACAGATTGATGACTGATGACATAATACAGTGACTCAGTCTAGTAGCCTTGTTCGAGTCACACCCTCTTCAGACTCACCCTGTTGTCTCCCAGCAGGCTCTGCAACTCGTGGCGGTGTCCCTCGGTCACGTCCTGCCCGCCGCTCATCTCCAGTTTAGGCAAGAATTGTTTCAGGGTGGTGGTACAGTAGCGGTTCCAGCGGGTTGGGTGGCGAGGGCGCCACTCCATGATCTTCTCCTTCAGAATCTTCTCAATCCTACAGAGAGTGAGATGGAACGTGTGATTTTTCAAGCCTGTAACTGTCGACGTGATGCAGTGTGAGAAGTGACTTCAGTGGCTACGACTTGCCTGTCCTGAAGCTCTGCTGCAGCTGCTTTGTCGGTGCGGCGATACACCAGCTCCTCTGGCTAAAGACAATTAAAATTTGGCGAAAATGTAATTACCAGTACAGAAAATATGACAGGTTTATGTATAAATGCCGAACACTCACCTGTACACTAGACAGCCCTGGATGTGAGAAGGAGCGGGAGAAAAATGGTTTCCACAAATTGGCTTTTGTGATGTCAAAATTTAGTCTCATTGGTGATGTGTACTCTTGAATGTTGAGCCAAACCTAAACAGCAAGTCACAGAAAATATTAAACTATCGTCTGCCATCAAAATTATTAAATGAATGATGAAACATTGAAATGAATAAACTCACATTGTCAGCATTTACCAAGCAGCCAACTGTTAGCAGCGGGCAGAAGGTGTCATACTGGCCATAGTACTGACCACTGCTGGGGTTCCAGATGAGGTAGCGGCTCTGCTCCGAGGTTAGGACGTATGCTGTGGGTCCCTGAGAAAGCAATATTTCAGAAAGCTTTGTGCTGCTGCAGAACATCTGGGAGGCTAATAGCCATAAATTCTTGTCTTATTAAATATTTTAAAGCTGTACTTCATTTAGGCGAGTTGTTATGGCACATCATCATTAGAGCTACAATGATTTTGTGATTAGTTGTCAACTCTTACCATAATGAGCAAACAATTTAATAACTGAACTATCAGTTTGTCAAACTTTTTTAAAAGAAAAAAGTCTGATTCATGTTTTTAAGATTTAAAATTTTTTCTGTTTTTTCACTCCCCCATTTCCCTATTTGCATAAAACTTCATCAGTTACCCCCCATGTCTGTGTGTCATGTGACAAGTTTGCACGAGACATGCAAAATCTGCATTATACTCAAATTTACTTATGCTATCAATGGATAAAATAATAGGGTGGCGCTTAGTAACTGTTGAGTCTGTTGAAAGACTGCAAAATGTCCCTTACTGCAGGCAGCAATGCATCTAAACACCCATCAAACATCTGCAAGGAATCTCCGTGCTGTGGACTTGAATGAACCTCCTGAATTTGCACAAAATTCTGCCCAACATGTTATTTATAGTTACCAACACAGCCTCCATAATTCCCAAGTGAGAAAGAGATGGTCAAGAGAAGACAAAAAGCCTTGCAAAAAAACCCCCCACCCCAAATCACAGAGATGCTGATTTGCTCAGGACTAATATGACCACAGGATCTTAGGGTTTGATGAGCGATGGTAAGTTGTAATATGTCATTTATAGTGGAATTTTTTTCACTTTAAACATGGCATATTTGCAGAGTATTAAGATTACAGACAACCTTTGCAATTATTACAAATCACATTCCAAGGTAATACTAGTCATACACAAATAGGACTTCAACAGTAAACGGAATATCTCTGGGTTGTGGACAAAACAAGACATTTGAGGACATCATCTTGAGCTTTGGGATATTTTTCACCATTTGACCATCTGACATGTCATAGACCAAACAACTACTCCAATTGAGAAAATAACTGATTAATTAACAACGTAAATATTGGTAGTTGCAGCCCTAATCATCATTTATAGAAATACATTTTTTTTAATATCGCAAATAAATGTCACCTACCTCTGGTATGGCTGTACCAATTATAAGCCAGGCTCTCTTGCCCATAGATAGGAAGTAGTTGCACAACAATACAGCATGTTCTTCTTCATCTCCCGCTAGGAGAGTGAGGAATTGCTAAAAACAAAACAAAGGCACTGTGAGATGGGCTTTTCCCATCCTTTTACAATCCCAGCACCTCAAAGAGGGTTCACTCACATCACAGGTGCTCCACAGATCACAGGCTCCAGAAAATGAAACTCGATCTGGCAGTGAAGGGATGAGTGAGACAAATCGAGCCACCAGAGCCTGTGTGAGGACAGAAAAAAGTGTGTCACAGCAGTAGATCCAATTAAAGAAGAAATATACGCACCTGAGCAGCATTTTTCTACAGTTCAATCACACCAACCGTGGCTTCCTGGGGGTTATTAGGGAACGCATCCAGGAACTCCTGCGGAGGGTTGAGTGGTCGAATAAAACGTGTGATGAAGACTGTCTTCCCATTGAGGTCTATGACTGTGGTGAGGCAGGGTCGGTCCGGGTAGCCCTGCGCCGCTTCCCTCTCAAATCTCTCTGAAGCCTGCAGTAAATGCTCGTCCTCTTGGCTGTCAAACTGCATTACAAGGTCAAACGTTACTGCCGATGATTACAGGTCAGCAATAGCTAAGAAAACATGATAAGCCTTAAGAAGGATGTGGTTGTGAATTGTTGCATAAAAGAGGATTAGTGTTCTACAGTTACCTTCACTTCCTTTATCTAGTACATGCAGCAGAGCAAAAGCAAATAAGTGACACGAGAGGATGATGACAAATTAATACACTGACACATAATCACAACATCAAAGAGAATAAATAATGGACAGTTTTGAAAGAATCTTTGACAAAAATAAAGTATGAACACGTGTTAAAGAAAGATGTGAGATTTGAGGAAAAACGTATCTAAAGACATACAAGGGAAATGAGCACAGAGTGATGCAGAATGAGGACTAAAAGGCCGACACAATCCATCCTTGAAGCTGAACATGACTTACCTTCTCTCTAATAGACTCTCCAGGCACCAGCTGAGGTTCCATAGTGATGAACAGTGTGACAAATGTTCCTTCACTCAGGCTCCGCATAATATCATAACCACCGTTAGCGCCATGGCTCCGCTCCTTGCTGTACCCCAGCAGCACAGCTGGCGTATTCACTTTGAATGTTCCATCAATCTGCCACATGGAATGGAAAAAAAAAAAAAAAAAACTCAGCCAAGAAGTCCAGGCAGTCACTGTCATTAATAAACACAATGAAGACTCACCCTGGACTGGGAATAAATTGTGCTGAAAGGAATCTTGACGGAGCCCAACCAGTGCTTCTCTACATGGGTGTGGATTGATTTCCCCCTGTCTTTGTCATTCTGAAGGGCAAAGTTACAAGGAATGCAAATCAAGGAAAAGGCTGTGATATGAAAACTGGGAAGAGGCAATGAACAGTGAGTAGCATTTACTTACCACTCCAGTTTCATGCACCACTTCATCAAATATGTTGATGAAGACTTCATCTTTGACTGACTGCAAACTAGCCGTGCTGTAGTCACCATTAGGGGCACTGTAAAGAGGAAGATCAGCAATTTAGCTTGCTGAGTTATGTACACTTTTACCTGGGAGCCTTTCTTGTACCTCGTGATGCAGGGCAGAAGGCTTTATTGCTGATTTAAAATTGCCTCAGGTCAGAGTAATTACAAAATAAGCCACTGAAAATACTGGATTTGTCCTGGAAATAAATACTCAGTAAGTATTTATCAGAAAAGCCAAATCACAAGTCATAAAATCCACAGTTGTTCACCTAAAAGGCAGCTGCAGCTCCTCGTTCCAGCATGGGTTTGGTCCATCAGCTGTGGTTGTCTGAAGTACTGTACGCTGGAAGGAAACCTCCACAAATGGCCTCACTTGCACCTAAATCACATACACAGAAAAAAACACACACATACTGAACATAGATCATATAGGTCACATTGCTTCCAGCTGCAAATTAAGGTTGAGGGGAACTGTACCTGGCTAAGGAACCAGTCGCTGCCCTGGATGGCACTCTGAGACGACTGTCCTGGTTTACTGAAATAAGAATCCATTTTAAAAAAAGTTCTGCTAGAATATAAATACAATTTCTTATGAATGTTTCTGAGGGCAAACACAAAGTCTCCTTCACTTGAAACTATTCTGAATTTGTCTTTCTTCACTCACTTGCTCTGGGGTCTGCGGATGGGGATGTCGAAGGCCCGGATGATGTTAACGAGCAGTTTGATGTCTCCGTCGGACAGATTCTGCGCCGTCACTTTCTTCCTTTCTTTCCGCTGAGGTTTCAGTGGCCGCTTGGGTTCAGCCAGCTTGAAAAGGTTTAATCCCAGGATCCTGATTGTCATAACAAACACATGTTATCATTTAGTCAACAGCCTACTAAGTGCTGGAAAGTGCTCGTCGACATCAAACATTATTTTCATTGGAACTGTGGGATGGGATCGCAACCAACAGTACTGAGTCCTTCCAGGTATTTGCAGTTTTACAGTCATGGTGCTGATGTGTAGAACGTTCACCTCAACATGTCACATGTAATTGCACAGTATGAGCTGTTAAAAATGTGAATTGTGATGTGAAAATGTCTTTAAACTGCACTGCTTATTATGTATTAGAATTATATACTGGTAAATTACACGCAAAACTAATGTCCCATGGTGGCTTGCAAAATGTACCAGCAAATGCACATGTAGTTGAGGATAGTCAGGATCAACACACAGTTTACCAATATTCTGGCACAAAGAATAAATGCACAACACAAGGAAGGTGGTTTTAACATTGTAGCTGATTGACATTAACAAATGTTGAAAGAGAATGCTACTTTACATTTTTAAAGCAAAACAAAACAAAAAAAAACCCATTAGTTCTCTTTCAATTTGACTGATTACTTTGCAACTCTTATGCAATAATTCTGCAAAATCCTGAGAGGACTGAATACTGCAAAAGGGTATTATCACCACTGTACTGGAACTCAGGGTTCAAACTAAATGGAGAAACAGAAACACAGTGAAAGGGAGAAAAAGAAAGAAAAGCTCTAAAAACATACCCTGGACCAGCACCACTGTAAAAAATGCATAGCAGAAAAAAATTACAACATTCAGTTTCAATAAAAGAAAAAAAAAAAAAAAAAGAGTAACACCCAATAGCATGACTGGCACCGATGTGCAATATTATGTATAAATCTGCTGAAATGTCAAAGAATTTAATTTATTTCAGATTTTCCATTATTACGTCCACATGTTGTGAAATCTGCAATAAAGTATCTCCTTTACCGGATCCAAAGGAGAGAATTACTCAGCCAGGGGAATGCAGTGTTGATTTCAAGATCAAATAGGCTGAAGCAGCACCAGGCCAAGAAACCGACTTACATCAGCCTGTGATTTATGTAGGCCCACTCTCTCTTTGTGACGGGTTGATTTGGCTAGTGAACAAGGTAATCCAAACTATCTAACGTTTCCTTTACAACAGAAACTTGGAGTACAGACATTCTTTGTCATTTTTTAGTTCTTCTGACAGGAGGATTAGGTAGAAGTTATGAATTACAATACAGATAATAGCTGTGTGTGGATTAGCAGCTGCAAGAACATTTTCTTCCTCTAACACATAGCATGCGTAGCCAAACAAATGATTGTCATTTTTTGTTGATTGTCATATTCACCCAATGCTCGGTATCTCTTCTTCTATCACCAAGTCAGACAGGACGTAGTGATGTTTGGCAAGAAGAAATCTATTGATGACTGATTCTCGGATCTGTGGAAAAAATGCCAAAATTACACCTAGCGCTATCATGTGCTAAATACTGGAGGAAAAACATGTTTCCATCAGATGTGTCCGCTCACCTTCTGAAGGTATTTGGCCACCAAAGCTCTGTGTGAATCCAAATGTTCTTTGGTGTCAATTATCTCTCCTTCTTTCAATCTTCTTTCATATTCCTGAAATAATATTAACCAAAGAAAGATAGCCGCATTTAGAGTTGTTGTATTCTCATTTGTATTATTGTGCGATGTCGTGCATTTTTGGACGGCTGACCTGGAACACCTTATCCGTGACCTCCCTCTCAAGAGCAGGAACGCACTTGTAATTGCGAAATTCTGCAACTTCCTGGTTCCTCAGCCTGAGCAGGCGAAACCTTCTGGACCTCTCCAGCTCTTCATCCGTCACAAAATTAAACTCCTCCTGCAAATGTTCCAGCCGAAAGTACTCTGGAGCTGTTACCTCTCCACTACTGGCGACCTGTGAAACATAAACACAAAGAAAGATTCGTCATTTGATATTTTCATTCAGCAAATGTCCTCAAAAGCTGCGAAGTAGTCACAGTACACCTACTTTCAGCAGCTGCATTATGGAGGCATTTTTTGGATCGTTGGGGTCCAGTCGAGACTGTGTCGCCCACTCGCCAATTTTTTTCATGTCATATAGTCCAGATGCCCCGATGTATGTGACAGCATCGAGACGGCCCAAACCACTGAAACACAGAATACAGACAGTGATTAAAATGACTAAAAAACAAACGCCACTGCATCCTTAAGGAGTTTCTCCAAAGTTATACAGCTGGCTCTATAACGTTTTGACATACTGCATCTCAACATGGTACTCCAGCTGCAGTATGTCAAACAGAAAAGCCCTGCAGAGGATAGTTAAAGGAGCTGAGAGGGTCATCGGAGTTTTCCTCACCTCTGTCCAAGAACTTTTCCAGAGTCGCTGCAGGAGCAGGGCACTGAACATTGTCAGGGACTTTTGTATGTTTATTCACAAAACAGTTTGGCTAATAATGCCACCAGATAGAGTACACTCAGTCAACTCAATCGCGATCAATTTAGTTAATCTGGAGATAACTTGCAGATGATTTTTCTCTGTGGCCACCTGATTGGCTGAAGACTATGATATCACTTTTGTTGACTACAGCATGAGTTGAAGTTGAACAGAAGCAGATGGGAGTGATGAACAATTCTATGCAAACTACAGGAGGCAAAGGTGTTGAGTTACTATACATCTGAGGAATTTTGAAGCAGGAGAGGATTATTTTCATGTAACATTTCAACATATGTAACTTTAGTGGACACAAATGAGTTTTTAATGGTTTAATCGATACCAGGAGAGGCACTAAAAAGCAAAGATGGTCAATGTGAATATGCTGTTCCTTGTGTCTATGAGGAAGCTGTTTAGGATAGTGTTTCAGAAACTTCTCTTGCTCTCTGCTGATAAATGAACACCTGCAGTGTTCTTTAGAAACTGGTCAGCTGTGATGTACGGCATCAAATGTATGAACTAATACATTAAAAAAAATCAGCTTTGAGAAGTACTACCTGTGAATGCCACCAGGTTGCTGAGAAACTGGAGGTGCGAGTGGAACGTCATCGTCCCCGATTCCCCAAGAAACACAGCATGACAGCTTCCCAGAGGTGAGCAGGGTCTGTTTGTTGCCACCATCAGCCTCAAAGGAGAGGGGCACATCTGAGGACACACACAGAGAGGATGAGAAACAGGAAGGCAGGGACAGAGGTAAGTTAAATAGAAAGTGGATGTGTTAGTGAAGTAAAAGATATCCGTGGGTGTTTCATGTCTGAAGCATCAAATAAAAACATTTACCACTTCCAACTCCCTCGTGGTCAAACATCACTCTCTGATTACTGCTAAACTCAAATTCCTCAACAGGGACGTTGCCTGTCACGACTGAGGGCTCTGGCACCGGAACAAACACCCGAGCCAGGAGGGAACATGATGATCCAATCTCCTCAAACACCTACTTATACACAGTAAACACATACATACACAGGCAGAAATGGTGAGAAAAATCTACAGCAGTCATCCATCAAACGAACGTGTTGGAGTGGCAGCATGCTCAGCGTTTCTTTACTGTACCTGCAAATGAATGCTCTGGGGACAGTTAACTATCTTGAGATTGAAAATCTGCCCAAAGTGCACCCTGAAGTCAGTGTTCAGGGAGCGGCTGTCTGTTCGGGAAACTTCTTTATCGTTGTAGAGGATCTTGATGAAAAGTGAGCGCCTGGCAACATCTTCTCTTCGAGCTGTTTCAGCCCTAAAACATGGAAAAAACATTAACAGTCCTCCAGAAGCCCATCCTCATAACTGTCAATTTGTGTTGAATGTTATCATCTTAGTTTTTTCAAAAACCTTTCACTTGTGTCAAATATTCTAGCTTTAAGTGGATTTCTTTTTTGCTCTTCAAGCATAATAATAAAAATAAAAACTGAAATGTTCACACCTTAGTGGCTGTTTCTTACTTGTTTTAAAGAAACCAACATTCCCAATGTGTTTCTGCTCATACCTGGGGCAGAGCTCACTGGCGGTGATGTTTCCAGATGCAGACAGCTCTGGGATCAAGATGGCCTCTCCTGGTTTCCTGCGTATCCTGGAGGCTTTCTCTCTCACTTGTTGCTCTATGGAGTCAAAGTCTGGTCTCTCGGGAGGCTCTGGCTTTGGAGGACCTTCTTCAACAGGCCCTTCAGATTCGCTCGCTTCTTGGTCTTCCTCCTCTGTGTCCTCCTGCGCCTGGCCTTTCTTCTTCTTTTTTCTCTTTTTCTTTTTGGATTTCTGAAAGTAGCAAACATTAAGGCACAGTCAAACTTATTTCTAAAGCACATTTAAAAACAACAAGAGTTGAACCAAAGTGCTGTATCATTAAAATATTAGGCTATAGAACAAAACGACGAAAAGACAAATGTGAATAAAAGAGGACAATACAAAAAAACATTATGTGAATGTGAACATACAGGGGTAAAGTACAGGTCTGCACTGATTTCAAACCAGAATTTGACTTCATTTCTGATTTTCTCAGGTGCTAATGATGCTAATTAACACATTTTCATTTGTACAGCAAAAAGCAGTTTGTTCAGGAGTAAGAAACTGACTAAGTTAAGCTATGGCTGGTAAATAGGTTGGCACCTGTTTCCTTCTCCAGAGCTTCCACTCCTCCAGCTGTTTGTTGTACTCAGCCAACTTTTTATGATAGTCCTCCTCACTTTCGGCCTCTAATTCCAAGACCTCTGCCAAGATTTCATCTTCATGCTCACGCTCATCTGATGCCCGATCCACATTCTCTCTGGGGCATGGATGAGATAGCATATTATTGACATGGATACAACAATCTGCAGAATGTTGTAATGAGCAGGTCTCACAAGATCCAGCAAATATTTGTTAGGGGTGAATGAATATCACCATCAGGATTTTTCCCCCCTTAAATTACTAATATTTAATGGAGCAGCACCAGATGTGGGCAAATAGTTGAAGGAAGCCTCCAGTGAAAATCTTTTTTTTTTTTTTTCTGGTTATATCTAGTTTATCAAAAGACCTTCTGTAAAGAAAATCAAGGTCTTTACATTGCTAATATGTTCATATGCTGTGTTTTATATATTAGAAACCAAATCACAAGTAAAATATACAGTAAACAACATGGCTAAACATTTCCACCTTGAAATTGTACCGATGACAATCTCAAAAACACTGATTTGGAGGATTATTTTCATTGAAAAAATGTCTAGATATGCAACTTTGATACACAAAAATGAATTTCTAGGGGTTTAATCAATGACCAGAGGGGGAGTTCAAGGATTCCAAAAAGACTGTCTTCACTTTGCAAGCATACAACAAATGATCACATTCGACTTTGAGGTTTCAGTGAATTACCTTCGGAGGTAGAGCTTGTAGGGCGTGTTAGTAAACTTCTGAAACTCTCTCAGGGCCTTGATCTCCTTCCACATTTTAACTATGTTCTTCAGCAGAGTCCTGTCTTTCTCCTGCTCGCTGTCTCGCAACTGCCGAGTGTTCCTATAATATTCAAGCAGAAGAACATACAGTAGGAATATTGCTTTTCAAGGTGGCAATTGTGCTGTACATCTGACTGAAACGGGAGAAAATCTGACAACAGGTACCTGATTTCGAGACTGTACTCAGAAAACCTCTGCTGCATGGCCTGAGTGAGGCTCTGCCCGCCGTGGATCTCAAGCATATTCCGAAGAGCACTCCTCAATCCATTCAACTAAAGCAGACAGGAAACACAAAATGCACCAGACACTGTGTATACTGTACTGAATAATACAAGACATTTTTAAATGTGTTTGTGAATTCAGTAAATCATGCTGATGGCTTTACCGTGCACAGAAAGTTGTCTGGTGGAGTTTACCTTGTCAGTGAGGTGTCCTGTGAGATTATTGTGTTGCCTGGTGAGGTATTGATCATACAGCTGAGCTAAACGGGCCGCGAGGACATGTTCCCGACTGAACAGCGGGTGATGAGAAAAGATCAGCCCAGAGACATCAACGTCAAGCTGGTAGTCTCCCTCGGGGTCTGCTGCACCAGCAATGTACAAATTTGCATACTTGGACTTCAGCGCCTGAGGGACACAGTAACATTATCCATCATGCGTTGTCCTGGAAAATAATCATCACTATGGGCACTCATGGCGCTTGTGTTTTCCTTGTGTGTATCGAAGTATGTGTATAATCTTAAAGCAAGCATGAAATAGTTGGCAAAAACCATCAGGGAGTGCCGTAATGAAAAGTCATGCACGGCAACTTCGTATCATAAACATCCAACTGGGCTACAATGAATACTCTGTTGTCCAGTTGATCACATACGACAGCTGTGCCTGTCTCTACAATAAAATTGTGTGAAAACAAGAGTTCTTTGATGATAATGCACAGATTGAATAGAGACTATCCCAAAACAGAGAACCTAAACTCAACACTGTTTTGAATGTGTAACCTGTTTCTTCAGGGTTTACATATTTCTCATATTATGTCTGTTTGGCCTGTTGCACCAAACACCAGTCAAGTGTGAATGAAGTCTGGACTCAGCTGCTTTTAATAATGATGCATTTGGACAATGCAGTGAGCTCAGTCAAAGACAGAACATCACCTGTCTATCCTTAATCCTTATCCTTACTAATGTGTAAAGTAACCAGCAGTAACCAGGAATATATTTAAATGTAAACTTCCTCTGATAAAAATCAAGTTGTTCACCTTGCTAAAGTGTCAATATGCTTTTTTTATATACTTGAAGACACATCATGAGTGAAATGAGCAGTCAACACCATGGCTGAGCATGTCTGCCTTGAAACTGCAGCATACTGATAACAGTCTCAATAACACTGGCTGATTCTACTTTTTCTGAATACCTTTGGATTTCTGAATGTTGCTAAAACAAAACGAGCAACTGTCAGGAGCGCTTCTCTACCGTTGCTCTCATTTTATCAGTGAGGAAGTTGAAAAAGTATTTACCAGGTTAATCAGTAATAAAAAAAAACTGTTGCAACTCAGCTGCAAGATTATAGGAAAATATAAGATTGGGATTGCGATGTAATTTTTTGGAAGTGCAATGTAATGTTTTTTAAAACATGTTCCCACATGAGACACCATCAAATGCATGACTGTCACAGAAGGAGGAAGGAAAGAAGTTGTGAAACAACTGACATAAGCAGTTTAAAACCCGTGTCAGATGTGCTGCAAAATGTATAAGATGCGGCTTATGTCAGCCACAAAAGCTACAATTCAATTTTAATGCCAGCTTCCAACGACCAGAACACTTTTAATGCCCACAATACCCAGCTGGAGGTTTGATGTAGCTTTATATTGTCAGAGGAGGTGATATCACAGATGTGCTGGCCTCCATCCCTCCTCTGATCTCTGATAATGAACTCCTGCCTCCTCCCTGTTCCTTTGTACCAACTGCCAAACTGCTCTTTTGCTTTATTTCCAACGAGGCGAAGGGGTGAGAAAAGAGTCAAATCCAATGGATCCACACAACACTTTCAGCATATGAATGTGCACTGTGCTTTAGATGAGGCAAATGAATGGCGTGATCGAACTGGCAGTGGCAGTGAGTGTGTGTCTGACCTTCCTGTACACAGTCTGCAGTGCAGGGTCCAGGTCCTCCTCCATGTGGAAGAGAGGAGGCCTTGTGGAGGATTCCTTTATAGGATCAGGAAGAGCCATGATCCTGCCGTCATCTCCAAACCACTTCTTTCCCTTAATAAATAGAAAAACACAAGTTATGGTACAAAAACAAACAAACAAAAAAAAGGATCAAATTTAGTGGCATTTTTTTTTTTAAATAGCTGTTTGGCATGTGAACTGATGTTACCTCCTCCATTTTCAAAATGCGGTTCTCCAGAATGTTCTCATTGGTCAGGGATACGGAGGGTCTTTCCCCGACATAGAGACCCTCATCCTCCAGATAACGAGGCTTCATGTTTTCAGGCAGTTTAATGGAGGTTGGAACTGTGAAAGTTATACATAGTTATAGGTAAAGACAAATGTAACCATATTTTGAAAGTTATAGATCTAATGTGAATTGAGTTCTATAACATATTCCACCTGTTCGAAAGCTTGGCGTAAACAGGAGGTCGCTTTCTCGCTGAATAAGGTTTCGATACCCGATGTACTCTGCCTTCCTCACTTCCAGGAAGTCCTGGGGCGATTGGTCAAGGGCGAACAAATCCTCCTCTGCGTTTTGTACAAGGGGAGCTTCTTCACTCTAAGGCAGAGTGAAGAATATGAGATATTTACTCAGAACAGAACAGGAGGAAATACTAATGCCACACACAAGATAGTTGTTGTTACGGTTGATGTTACTTGGTTTTCATTTTCTTCTTGATTATCTTCATCTGCTTCAGCATCTTCCTGTTCTTCAGCTTCATCTCCTTCATCTTCATCTCTGTCATCTTTCGCTGTTTTTCTCTGTTTTTGTCTTTTGCTGCTTGTTGTCTCACTCTCATCCGGTGGATCTGGCTCAAAGTTAAATGTAAAGAAATTGTATGCCTCCTCAGCGGTTGGCAAGCCTTTTCCTACCTGTGTTTGAAAAGAATAAATGAGTAAATGCAAGAATATCAATGATTTGCAATTAAATGATTTCAATCTCAGTTCAAGTCTTACTCGTCTTGCTGCTTCTCGAAACTTGACCCTGGCACTGAGGGCTGAAGGAGGATCTTGTCTTCCAGATCTGTCTGGATCAACCTGCAAAACACCTGGCAGTTAACTTCCACTGCTGGATTGGCTACCATGAGTCCAATAAGGGTTAGTTTAGAGTAGATGCTTACCTCTCTGTCAAACCTTGTCACAGTGTCTCTGTCTCTGAGGCTCTGCAGGCGGCTGGCTGGCTCGAAAGAAGCCTCTGGCTGCTGAAGGCTTTCACTTTTAGACTGAAACAAACGAGAACATACATTAGGGGTGGCAGTTCTTTTTGAAAAGGGTATCTTTCAAAATGTTATTTACAAATAAAAACCACCAAAAAAAAAAAAGAAGAAGCTGGGTTTACCCTGGCTGCTCTTAGCCTCTCTTCCAAACGGCGTTTCACAAAGTCATCTAAAGACTGAGACTGAGACTGAGAGCTGGGAGTATGCTGAGTTCTTGAGAAGAGACCTAGAATAAAAAGTACATATGAAACAACAACAACAGGAATTACATTTATTGCTCAGTATTGTCTTGCTACTGAATCATCTCATACCAAATGACCGCAATGAGTGCTTGGTCTCGGATATGATGTTTCCAGATTTAAATCACAATTTTCCTATTCTTACAGTCATTGAGTTCAGAAAAATGCATGGCTTTATGCTGCAAATGCTACGCTATGTTGCTATATGTCCTTATATGCTGAAAAAGAAAGAGCCTTGCAGTATGGTTTTGGTACAGCTACTTGCACCAAAACAAATTAAATAAGTGTATTTTTTCAAGTTAAATAGTGTGCAGGAGTCTGTAATTTTCTGATATCATCATTCCTTTCTTAGACACCTGTCTCATAACACAGATGTATGAAGAGTTCCTTTGTCTTACTTTCGAATGATGAAAGTGAGAGAGGCCAACTTGGAGAATGCACAGCCACAAACCTTTCTGAGATCCAGCTGGACTTCTGGATGAAACCACTGACTCATGTGCCTTCTCAGCCGATTCCTCTTCTGCACCATCATGCTGTATGGTTGAGATCTCCTCCACATCATCATCGCGGGACTCCTGAACTAACGTCTGTTCAAGCAGCTAACAAACACAGAGAGTAGTTTTAGACCTGATGAGTAGTGGAATCACAGAATGAAAAATGACGGTGCCAAAGGAAGATGTTACCCTTTTCTTCCTCCTCTGTCTCTGAGCCCTGATCGTGCGTTTCAAAGTCTCTCCGGGGTCTTCCTCACTACCTTCAGGTTCCTGGTGTAACACAGGCATGAAGTTAAAATAGACAGCAACAGCAAACCTGCATCCACACTGCTATGTAGCGCACTGAAGCTGGAAGAAGGTGAAGAAAGTAGGAGATTAGCGTTGAGCAGCCAGCAGCACACACAGGAGGGCAGCTACAGCCTACACTACAAAACACACACCAACCTTCATTGTGGTTTGTCGCTTCTCCCCACTCAACTTGGTAGATGGAACCAGAGCCTATCGAGTATAGTTAGATTTACTTTAGCGTTAGCAGCTCCTGTGCATTTCTGGCTGTGAGTGTGTATAAAATGAATCTGACTCCGTGAGTGCAAGTCGAGTCTTGTCAGGTATGGCGCTTTTCTATGTTGTGCTGTTTGTACTCAGGCTACAGTCAGCCCACAATAACAAATCAAGATATAATTTTCATCTTTCAAAAGACTTATGGAGGTTATGTATTTTGTATTTTTACCTGAACGTCGTCCTCATTTTTGTTTTTCACCAAAGTTTCTTGCAAAGCCCGTCGTTTCTTTCGCAGTTTTTCACGAATGTCGCTATAACAGACACAGATTTTAAAACACCACTAACGTTAGCTTAGCATCTCACAGACTTTAAGAATAGCTACATCAATGTGATTTATATAGCATAAAGCAAACGGAGAAAAACTACCTTGGCGAAGCCATGGCGGCGGTGAGTTTTTCAACATTAATTAGTAATAAAAACAGCTACTTTGCTGTAGTGTGCATGTATACACACTTGTAATTTTCAAGACAATGTATTTTAGAAGAAACTCCGTTATCGCTGCCTAGTAACGACATAAACTACCGCTCAACCGACCTTGAATGAGGGCGCCGATTCAACCAACACTCATCAGTGCTGGATTTCTATTCGTTTAATGGGCTGTCAATCAAATAGCGTATGGGCTGGTGAACCCGCCCACTACGGAGTCCTAGAGGCCACAAATGCGCAGCAGTGAGACAGCTGGAAACCTTTTAAGGACAATATGGAAATGCTGGCAAAGTAATTTATTGTGATGCATAAATACAAATAAAGTCCATATTAAAAAATACAATAGTTATTTATTTGATTATCAACAATGACAATAAAACCAGATTTGTTTTTTTGTGTTTTATTTTATTAAAAGAAACAGAAGTAGACAAGACCAGAAAAATATTACTTAAAAAAAACCCAAAACCTCACCTGACTGTAAACATTGAGAAGAGACTTTAAACATCACATTTAAATCTACAACAACCACCATCATAGTACTTACTTTTAAGGAAGGAACTTAAATCATTTTTCCTATTGCTTTAGGGAAGTTAATTTGTGGATGAAAACACTGTGAATTGCTCGACGTAGTTTGTCTCATTATTATTTATTTGAGGTATGGTGTTATAAGACGTTATGGGTGAACTTTTCCCGTACAGCAGCTCTTCTCCCGGAGTATTTAAAGGGTTGGTAATCCAGATAACAAAGTAAAATGAGCATTATTACCTGAAAGATACACTAATCCCACTGATGCTTGTAACAAAAACACTGGCAATTCTAGTTTCAGTGGTTCTCAAATATTTTTTTCAGACCTTTTGCATATGATTGTAGCTGTGAAACATCATTATTGAAACTAATTACAGAAATACAGTTTTAGAACTACTGCTCAAGATAGCTTGCACTGACTGTAATATTAATGTGGAACATGGAGCATGGAAGAAAGTGGGATGACTTTATCTAGAGCACAGTGTTTCACACTTAACTTACCTATAACTTAACTTGTGGCTTGGTTTTAACTTAAAAATGGAGCAGTGAAAAGGTTAAATTCTAAAGATTTGTGGGCTGGGCTAGGACCCAATGTGTCAAGATCCTAACAACATCTCTGTGTCTAAATACCTGAAACACTAGAGAATATGTCTTTTTGCTTGTTTTCTTCTTCATTTAGGTAAAGGACAAGTCTGCTGACAGACATTTGTTGTTTGCAGAAAAACTACAGTGCAAAACTGAAGTTACTCATTGTTTTGTTTAGTTTAGTTGAAAATAACCCCTCAAGGTCCAATTTCCCACTTCTGAGGTGCTGTGATTGCAGCATTAACCTCTGTAGCTGTTATTTTTGGCCCTCTTGCCAATACCAACACAATGGAGGACATGCTTTGACTTTTCATATTTCTATTTTCCAATAGCTTTGTCTCACACATCTTTCAGCTTTGTCTCTTTTGTGAAACAAAATCTCTAAAGTACACTCAACCTGTCAACACTGTTTATTTAAGTTATTATTGCTCCCACACAAAACACAAAAATCCAAAACTCATTCAAGTTTGATCAAATAATATCATTTCAGATCAGTAGATAAGACTCTATACCAATAATATAACTAGCAGTACAAACATTTGTATAAAAATATAGTTTGACCTGATAATATATGTACTAAACCTGTCAGACCAACAGTGACTTGCAGTTTTTGTTTTGTGTGCTGCATTTTCTATGCGTAGTCCTCTGCCAGTGTGTCGAAGTAGTTTGTGTCTGCGTACAGAAGGAAGCCAGAGAACAGGCTGTCGGCCCAACCAGGGTCTGCAAATAATCCGTTCTGGTCTTGGAAGAAGATTTCCATCCACACTTCATCTTCTGGGTTCAGGTACATGACAGTGGACCCAGATGCCACATCATGGTTTCCTGTGTTGGCGTCGAATGTTTTGATGCGATACTGACCGTTCTGCACCAGACCAATGGCCAGGTGTTTGTTGGCCAGCGTAATGTCGTAGGAGAAATAATAAATGCCCGGGTATGCACAGATGAACTTGCCCGTCTGTGGATTGTAGTGTCCGCCTTCATTAAAGAGGACCTTGTTGAACTTGATGGGGATCTTCTCTGCAGGATAGCTGCTGGTGATTCCCACAGAGAAGGCAGATTTAGGCAGCAGGCTGCCACATTTGCAGATCCCTGCAGTTCCACGCAGCCCTCGTTCACCTTTGTCTCCTTTCTGTCCGTCGCGGCCAAGAGGACCGGCCAGACCCACGTCACCATTCTCTCCTGTAGGGCCTCGCTTCCCCGCGGGGCCTCGGTCACCTCGCTCTCCAATCCTACCCGTGGGGCCTACCCTGCCCTTCAGCCCTGAAACAGAAACAGCATGTTTGGATCATCTGTGCTGAAGCATCGTTGATTGAGTGATTGCATTTTTTCCATAATTTTGCGATAACTCTAATTAGGGCTGAACAATATCAAATCAACATCAGACTTTGAAGGCAATTAGCAAATCACAAAGGCTGCAGTTTAGGACGGACACTGTGCAGAATTAA